TCTATCTATCTATCTATCTACTTGAGCCAGACAACCATAGACTAGTTGTAAGAGCCAATTTAAGCCACATCACTAACAGCTGAATATACTGAATGGGTTGATGTGTTCACAGAATTTAAAGTTTATGGTTGTACATGCAAATTGGGAAGTTCAAATGGCCACACAGTATCAATGTCCTATACAACCAAAACCTGGACTTCGTGGACAAACATTGTCATCATTAAGGGACTTTTGATGCCAGCATGTTTGTGTCAGCACTGTAACAAGAATATAAAAAATATATATACCTAAATTATGCCACAAAATCACATATAAGACTTACTTTCAGACTGTCCGATGACAAGATACCTAAAAATATCCAATGATTTGTAATTATAACTTTGGCGGTAAGGCTACAATTGGAAATCACGTAGCCGCTGAGTAGCGACAAACTTGCTATAATCATTATTTATATTATTTATATTTACATGTAGCTTTCTAAGGTTAAGTATACATCCCATGCTTATTTTCAGTGATAATTTAAACAAAAATTTGTTCTATATTCACTGACCTTTGCAACAGTTTTTCTATACTGTATCAATACCATATCCCGCCTTACACACACCAGGAAATGTCTTTATCTTTTTCTAAATTTATATTATCACGATAATGTCACGATAGTTTGCAACCACTTGTGTGACTGACTTTATGTTAACACATGTTCTGTTGATTAACTGATGATTATCATTGATTTATCATTAAATATGTGACTTTTCGGCACATCAATAACATTCAAAATGAATGTTTAACTCTCAATTATAATTTTTTTTTCCGTTTAAAACATTATTACAGTTTGTTAAAATCACTCTTTTGACACTGAATTTGACACTATTTGATATGTCTGTTCCTTCTTACCATCATAATATTACAGTATCTGCACTTCTGTTAGCAGTCTGTAGCGTCTGTAAACTCACATACAGCAGATAAATACCTTGAACGTGTCCCCCGGCTTGTGCCCTCAAAAGTACTCCAGATGCAAAATGTCTTCAATTTCCTTATTGAAAACCAACTGCTTGTCAGTGAGTCACTCTCACTCGCTCAGTTTGTTTCTGCAAGTCTCTCTCTCTCCTTTCTTTTTTACTCTCTCTCTCTCTCTCTCTCTCCCTCTCTCTCCCTCTCTCTCTCACACACCACACCACAGTGAAGATCAGGGCCTGGGGAGGGGGGGGGGTTAGTTTACCATAAAACAGATAACAGTTTGTCTGTTTATTTTTGTGCAGTAATTCCCTCGCTTGCCTCTGCGGCAGGTCTAATCCAACAAAGCAGTACAAAGATCAACTTACGTGCTGATTAAACTTCCATTAGCCAACTTTAATGAAACCTTCAGACAATTTGTCTGTAGTCTTCAGAGTAATCACAACCAGAGGCAGATTTAAAAAGAAGGAAGTTTACAAACAGTTGTATTTTAACGTGTTTGGGTGGCAGTCAGTGCATCTCTTGTGTTCAAATTTAACTGTGATCTGTGTTAAAATATCCTTGCATATCAAATGAGACAGCTGCAGTGGAAAGTGGTTGCACTGTATCTGTATTTGTGATAGGTGTAGATGTGTGATGGGTACTCATATGTAAAAGAGAGTGTGGTTTCCATGACATTTCTCAGTTCCTCTGGTGGTCTAAGCCACTGTATTGCTCCTCTCTACAATTCATCTATGCAACCTAGCACTACTGTGATAAATGTTTACAGTAAAGCAGTACATAGTCTTATCACAAGATGGACTAGTGGAATCAGTGAGCTGCACTTGAAACCCTCTAATTGAGAAATGGTTGAGTATCTGCACACATGGCTCAAAAATAGAAACGTGACCTGTGCAAAGTTAAAGGTCGAGTGGAAGTAAACATTTGGCATAATCTTTTAATCATGCAGTTTTTATGTAAAGAAGTGATAAGTATTATTGTTCTGTTATTTCTTCATATTGGGCCATTTTTTTTTTTTTAATACCTGATAGGTCAGTAACAATCCCTCAATAAACAGGAAAACCACGAGGATGCACAGCTATGGTAAGTAGTTAAAAGTTACATTGGTGAATACTTTAGTTTTCCTCTAAAGTGAAGCCAAAGCGAACCTTCTGTAATGTGACGCATGTGCGATATTGTGATGTATTTGGGAGGAGTATATTACGAGAGAAATTTAAATTAATCTTTCAGATTTTATTGGACTGCTTTAAAGCGGGTGTGTCTTAGCAGATGTAGTCAGTGATCCCATCTGATGCATGTCATTCAGTGCGCTGCAAGCCTACTCTGCTATTTTTGACTGAACTAAATATGTAAGTAGTATAGCATATCACTTTAGAAAACGTAAGAATATACCCACTTTTCTAGGCACCACTGCACGACTGGATGTAGTGATACTTGAAGACCTTTCATCTCCACTCACACCTCCTTCATCCGAGCTACTAAATCATGAGACTGAAAGTGTATAAATTGAACCTCAAACACATTATTTAGAAATGTAAACCAAGATTTAACTCACATCCTTACACACACCTCCAACTACAATATTGCCCCGTTAGCGACCCACTCGCTAACGGTGCAGCTTTATATGATAGGCTGATCCATTTATCCAATAGCCCAGCGACACAGCTGCATCATTAGCCTATCATCTTACTGCTGTCTTTTTAAATATGATTCTCTCTCTCCGCCTTCAGTTCATCCATGTTTTTTTTATGCATTTCTTTTCTGGGCAAATAAATATTTGAACAATAAACAATCAAACCCTACTCTGGATTAGAATTGTAAAATGTATTCAGTCATTGTACTGGTTCTGTATTCATCTACAAACACATTAAGCAGTCCATGCCTGAGGTTTACTGTACTGTATGTTGTCTGCTTGTTGATGTTCCCCAGTTTTGACACTAGAGGGCGTAGAAAGTCATGTTTTGAACTCCCCTACAGCGTGTCCATTTCGAGCCACTTTGCCAGCTTTTCCCTAAATTCATGCCATATCTATTAATAGATGCCCCTTACGTTGACCTCCTATATCGAAATGATTCAACGGAGTGTTGAACTTTGGGGATTTCTACTGTGCAATACTTGTATATCTGTATCAGGTACAGCAAACAGTGTGCGGATGTGAATACGGATGCAAAGTCTGTCACATTGGGGAAAAAGAATTGCGAGCTGATGTGCGGTCAATCTATCAAAGTATAACAATGCTTTGGGTTTTCACACCACACAGCGCAGCTAACCAGGTCTTTCCTATTCTCACCACACAATGCGCTGAAAAGGGAATTCACCCCTCTTCTTCAGTGATGGAAACAATAAACACCAAACAATGTGTCCTTGAGTTATCTAGCAGTGATTATGACCCTTTTGTTTCTGGTTTGCATGCTAAATTGCTGTAAGATGTTATTAGGAATGAATCAAAGAACGCTGTGAGGAAGATATCATTCAGAGTATGTTGTAACCTATAAGAGCAGGGAACAATAAATCTTACAGCACCGGAAGTGTTTGTTTCCTATGGGGGGCTTTATACAACACGCAACGTGGGGATATTACTCTCTGGGCAACACTTCACAGGTTTTTGTTTGGACCACCTGTGCTGTGTGTGGGGACTGCGCTTTGCTGTAGTTCTCTGAAGGAACAACCTCACTTCACTGTACACACATACACACA